CTTGTCGCTTATTGCACGGGAAGCAGATGAAAAACAGAATGGGCCGAGCTTCATCATCCAGTGGGGTTCTCTCGAAAGGTTGCATTCCCAAGAACCTTTAGCTGAATCTCGGGAAGACTCCATCCATTGAGTCACGACTTCCGAGTCATCCCAAGATGCAGTAAACAACACCGTTGCTTTGGGACACACCACCCCCTAGGGTGTCCTTCATAGGATCCAATCCGACACCCCTTGGAACGCATGAGTTCCTCAAAAGAGAGCTGACACATGCACAGGCACGCTTGAAGGAAACGTTAGGATCACTTCCGCGTGTGAAAATCCTAATTCTAACTATCCAGACCAACAAGACTTGGGTTAGACTGGAGTGCATAAAACTTATTCCAAGATCTACTCCTGATAACGGGGACACTCCATGTCAGCTAGCATCGCCTAATTGTAGAAACCGTGTACCACAAAGGTTAGCTTAATGTCTACAAGCTTGGTCACTGTGGTGCCCCTCCGGAACTACATTTTCGTCCAGCGACAATCATCACCGTGCCTCAATGAAGTGAGATTCTGAAAGCGTCACCATGACAGGGCGGCGACCTGCTTATAAACACTCAGCCAGGGCACAAATTAGAGCAGATGTGGCTACCCCCTGACATTGTGGACTAAATCTCTTCATGTGGTGTCGTTCGCCCTTCAACGTAGACATAAGAGGGAGTGCGGAGTAGCCTTCCACTGCTGCAACGAAAAAAACATCCACAGTAACACCAGAGAACACTGTTGCTTCATGGGCGTATAGCCATGTGATTTCAATAGAGACTTGCAAAAGTGTAAATAGGGTGGGGAGGGGGCTCAGGTCTAGTCTACCACAAACATCCGAGGTTCCTACATCTCCAACACTCAAATAGTCCGAATATAATCTGATGGCGTGAATGAAATAGACATCGGTTAGCTGCCTTTTCGTCTAGTGTCTCCAGCCGAACACAGGAAGGTCCATGAAAAGGAACAGCAACAAATGCTCCCAGACCTTTCGGGGCATCCATTCTCTTCTGCTATTTGACATTCTGTTCACCTCTAGGTTTCCACCAACCAGAATTAGGTACGGTAAACAGCGCTTGTCTCTTTAGGTGGTAATCTGGCACGCGTAACATATAAACCAGCCATCTCTACTTGAAGTACTAGTTGTATTTTTGAGGGAAGTATCTGCTTCACCAAAAATTCATTCCGAATTTGCTAGTTCTAGCTGACTCCAACTATATTTATGAGGTATTGGTAATCAGACTTGAAGTCTCAGATCTTCCGCACAAAGTGGCTAGGCTTTGCATCTTACGTTATAGCCCGCACTGTAGTCTCATGTACGCGTACTTTGAGATTCAGCGATGGGTTCTTTCGATGCCGGAAGTGGCACAAATTGGCAAACACAATTATGGTATTCGAGATTCGCGCGCTGACTTCGTCTATCACACTACCGTCAGAGCGAATGCGAATTCCGAGTTACATGTCTCTCTCTTCAACTTACAGTGACACTTCTTGAATTCTGAGAGGTGTGTTCAAAGACTGTACTTCCTCAGCATGACCCTGCACTTGAGGCGCGAATCACATGCCGAAAGACTGGGTGACCCCGTTTAGCTTCCCTAGTATAACTTGCGCATTCTGCTCTTTTTGAAGGATGAGAACAATGCATATTCTCGGTTGACAATGTTCTCATTCGGGGAAATCTGAACATCAGGGTTTCGGGAGACCTAGTGCTCACATCCTTACCTCATCGATGACGAAATTAGCGGAAACTACTTTGTGTGTGAACCAGCTTGCACTAACATCCGTATAGTGGTGATCATTTGCCATACTCCAGGACTACATGGGCACTGAGTCGTCACTTCCACTAAACACACATTGTTGATAACCAGCAATCTCAACGTACTAATCATCAAGGACGCACTATCCTATGGACACATTTTCGAGGAGCAGCTTCAAACCCTCATTCACTCGGCCTCTATCCAACCTCACTGACCTCCCGACCTGTTGTCATGGCATCAGTACTCCGTTTTCGCGGAACTTGTCTCAACTACTGAGGAACTGGTGGCTGAATTCACAACTCGCCAGCCTCAACTTGGATGCGGTGATCATGCCATCCTAGATTTTCACTACGTCACCTCGCACTTGGACAAAAATCGACGTGCAAAATTCACAAAACCTGGTGTTTCCTAACACCTTAGCAGGCATCTCGGCCGACGATGATTGACGCGGCATCACCGAATCCCTGACGACTCCAACAGTGATCGCATCCCAAACCGAAGTTATCCATACCCACATAGGGTCGCAGGACTGCACTATAAACAGCACTGAGGTAGATGATACAAAGAGGTAGAGGAAGAACGTAAATCCTCCCTTGTATCAGCCAAACTACTCAACAGATACACAGCCTCTCCTTTCGCAAAAACAAGCGCTCCTGGTGAGCGTCCTTCGCCGTTCGGCTCACGGACAACCCGAATCTCCTCTGAAATCGTCTCAATAAAAAATATGAAAAAAGGTGCACTTTCGTTAAAGTGGATCCTAAAAAGTAGGTGTTACTACCAAAACATTATCGAGATCCAGGTCCATTCCTAGCGCACTGACCGACACGCCCGATGCTCTGTCGGAGGTGGTCAATGAGTCAGGTGTGGAACGTAAGCTAAACTATTTTCGGAACGTCAGTCCAAGGATTCTCCTTCGTGGAAAACAACCTCACCACACCGTTGGCTAAGTCCTACTGAAGTCTCCTTGCTTTTTGATCGGCGAGAAAGTGACATTATTATAAGGATTCATGAAAACGGCAAGCCCCCTCACCTAGACAGCCACCTCCGGTTACCTCTCTACCATTCGCTCAAAATTCATCGTAGCAAGTCATAGATGACTTCCCAGCTGTACCATGACTATATACCTATACCATTCCAACCTCTCGCTGGTACTCGTTATTCTCATATAATCTCCACATTGTTAAAGAAGGGACCTAGGAGTCATCATGCAGGTCGCCCAGGGGAATGTGGTTCTTTGTCAATGCCACTGGTACTGCCAGCGGAAGTGTCGCGGAAAGTAGAAAGTTGCGAGCAGAGGGCTTTTGGACTGATAAACTCCTTTCATCGCTCCGAATAACTCTTTATTGAGGTGGCTATCTGCTGGATTTCTTCATTGCGTTCAATCAACCATTCACTTTAGTGAGATGGCTCAGCGGTTAGCGCGCGAATTTACTGACCGTAAGATCCGTGGTTCGAACCCGACCTATCTCGACCTTGGCTCAGCGGTTAGCGCGCGAATTTACTGACCGTAAGATCCGTGGTTCGAACCCGACCTACGCATCTCGACCTCTCCCATCTAGGCTTGGGCGACCTACTAGTATTTCAGCCATCATGCTTCCTTCAGGTAGCATGGAAGTTAGGCACCGAACGTGAACGTTTTGTTCACACTTTAACTCACGCAGGCATCCGGTGTGGTTGCTTCTTGTTGTTCGTAATCTCTATCGGTGGTGGGGCCTAACGAGTTCTTCGGTACTGTAGTGATGACGGAATTATCTTGCTCAGTTAAAGAGCTAATGAGGGTAGAGTTTTCATCGAACCAATCCGCGCTGATTTCTTTATTTCACATATTTTCAGTGCGGCTTCACACATGTTCCCTTATTTCAGTCCACTGTCTCCGTATAGTTCGTAGTGGTAGTCTCTTGGATAGCACCCAGTTTTTCGCCACATTTACCTAGTCTTTCAATATTGCGGCATTCAGCCTCAGAAACTGTTCTTTTGTTCCATCTCAGTGTAGTTCTCACAAGATGACGCGTGTCTTCACCCATCACGCATCACTGATAGGCAGGGTTTCTGTGAAGACTATCGGAAAACGCGTAATAAATAGTGTCTTTGAAGAACGTGTGGCCGCTGAAGTTTTTTCCAGGATTAAGCTACAGACTAGTAACAATCAACCCGTGAGCTGAACACAAAAGGCGTTGATCCAATTCCTAGGGGATCGTTATTTTCTTCCAGGTTTTCGAACCTTGACCAGCTCGAGCATTACCATCTCCTATGACATCGCTGGACTGTATTGGTCGAATGATCGGACAACTGAGTCTAAAAGTAGCTTTTCTTTTCTTCAGAATTTGATATTTTGGACACAGGCGTTCACTAGCATAGCAAAGTGCCATCTGGCGTATTGAATTCGAACTACCAGCATTCTCGCATTGCTACAGTTTGACTCACTGCCGACTGTTGAATGCAGGTTTCTGCGAATGCATCTCAACGTTCCCACTGACTGTCCTCTGGGATTTCTATCCAGTTTATCCGTCTCTGGTTTCAAAGTATACTCCCTGTCACGCCAACCTTTTCTCAGCGCCGAAACTTTAATAGCATGCTGTTAGAGTCGGTCGGCGACAAGTGCTTTCCACCATTCCGGTCTATCGCTATTCTCCTTATTCAGTGGAGCCCTGATGTTCCAGGTCCCACGCCTAAGTTGTCGACTGATTCACCTTTAACAAGAATTTTCTTGTTTTGAAGATCGATTCGTCCACACCAAGCGTTCAACGTCCTGGTTCGACCGTCAAAATGACGAGTGGTAGGGTTATCTTGGGGAAGGCTCAATTGTCTGACTTCCTCGTTTTTTGGTGGCTGGCCCATCCCAGAACTCCGGTAGTAAGGTATTTGCGTCTCGTTCCTGAGACGGTTGCGCACAACAGGTGCCTTCTGATCTGCACCGGGATTACGGTTTTTAGGAGTATTCAGACCCCATTAGCCAAAACACTGACAATTACTGCTACAGACCTGGGTAGTTTCCTCCCAATCCGTTCGTGTCAGTTGTCACTGTCAGGTCCGATGGCAAAGGTAGAAATCCATCTCTGAATCTGGTTGGGCTACAGGGGCGAGATGGCCCAAGTGGTCAGAGCGCGAATTTACTGACCGGAAAGTCCGTGGTTCGAATCCGACCTCCGCCACTCGCTTCCCCTGTCTAGGCTTGGGCAACCTGGCAGTATCCCAGCCCTCGTGCTTCCTTCGGGTGGGATGGCAGCTAGGCACCGGAAGGGTGGTACAGCTGAACGCTTTTTTTGGGCTACAGGACTGTTGCTAAGCAACGAGAGTAGTAATTGCTTCGTACTCAAGTCTTGTTACCTGATGTTCATTTGCATTGCTAGTCAGTTGCTGCGGTGCTGAGATCGTGCATAAGTATCCACCACTGAAACGTGATAATACTGCAGCAAAGTCCGACAAAGAAGTTTACCCTTTCGTCTGTAGCTTTCGGGCCTTGGTATATATATATATACATAT